AGTTTTTATAGTTTGCATGCAGTCTGATATACAAGCTTGTGAATTTTACAGGTAGATCAGAGTATTTGCATTTTAAAAGTCTTTTATATAATTGTTTCTTTAATTCTTAATATATAAAGAAATACATACATACATACATATATATGTGTGTGTGTGTATAATATATATATATATATAAAAAATGTGTTTATTTTTACTGAAGTGACATAGGTTCCTATTTTAGGACCTAATTCCTTATGCAAGCAAAATAACCATTGATTTTGCTCTGAGATAAGCACGTGCAATGGCCTGTAGGCTCATGGGCTGTTCCCCAGAGTATATTTTCCTTTTGGAAGTAAAACTGTTGAGATTTTCTGTCTGTAAGTGGAATGCAAAACCTGTTTGCAAAGGACCTGCATATTTTCTGGATTGGCCAATATCATATGTATGCTGAATTGGTAAATAAGACTACCCATTGCTCTTGAAGCATGGCTTTTAAACTCAAATGAAGAATAATTAAAATAAAGCTAATCGGTTAAATCCTGCATGTAGCAGATGGATGCTTGCGGTGATGTGATATTTTGGGGCTACCCTTTTTAAATATGGTTCAAAAAAAAAGATTTACGACCTGATAAAATAAACCTTATTGATTTGAATTAGAGTCGTATTTCCTAGTGCTGACTGATCTGAATAGCAGAAAAGTTGAGAGTTGTATGAGGCAATGTTTTAGAGACCTTCTCTCAGGGTTTTTGTTTGTTTGTTTTTGGTTTGGGGTTTTTTGAGGCTTGTTTATGGTTCTGAAGCATCCTTTGGGCAGCGCTTGTTTCTCCTGTTTGTAAGTCATGACGCTTTACTGCCACCCTTTTCATCAAGGACGTGTGCTCAGGCTACCTATATGCCCATTCAGTTGTTGAGGCTCCAGAGAGAGCACAATAATTGCTTTTCTCTTTTTTTCTGCCTTAGAGCATAGTAATTATGCCTTAGATAGGAACCTATGCAACAAATCTCTGCAGCTTTTTCACTGCAAGAAGTTCTCACTTCCCTCCTGCAGGAGATTCCTGCCTCCTCCCTGTGCCTCTCACCACCCAACTTACATACCTTACCAACCCACGCTAAAGAACGGAAAACACATACGTACAAGGCAAGAGCATTATAAAGTCTTCTAAAACAAAAATGCATATGCTTGGGCACAACACGTTTAGTCGTCTTGTTGCTTAATAGATTGTGTTTTGTTTGTTTCCAATCAAGAATAGCGTTTTAGCAACATTTTAAAGAAATTGATTATTAAATAATTTTAGAGCGTGTAACATTGGGTGAGATTGGCAGGTATCTTAAAAACTTTAAAAATGCACTCCCAAAGTAAGGTTTACAGATATAAACTACTCAGAGGTAAGAACTGGAAATGATATAGAAGTGAGAAAGTGGAAATTTTTCAAGACCTGAAAGGGCCCTTATTAAGCAAAGTAGTACCATTCATGTAATTTTTTTAAAGGATGATTTAACTGGACTGCTTCCTTTCTTTTTATAAACAGCCTGTGTTTTCTGCTGTGACAAAATAAATATTGGAGTGTAAAACACAGGCGTGTTCCTGTGCGATGAAGTCTGGAGCAAAATATTCCAGAGCAGAATTATTTACAGGGGCAGGTCTCGGTAACGGAAAGAAGTTCTCCAAACTGTTGGACTGGAAGACTTAAATCCACGATGATGTTGCATCATTATTAAAGAACGAACAGAGTGTGGCCCCCAGCTAGTGTTTTTTTCCATCTGATAGGTTTTTCCATACTGTATGCTGAAACATCGACCAATTTGTTTTCATCCATCTAAACTGCAGGGACTGTTCAAGAGCAGCCAGTGTCCCTGCTTGCAGGAATTTGTCTAATCTCAAGCAACTGCTTGGAGTTCTTCTGCCACAAGAAATAGTTTATTTGAATTATGCAGTTCTTAAGTATTGGACCAGCAAGTAAGGTATTTAAGTCCTAGAGACTCTGTCACTACCTTTCAAGAGAAAAAGTCACATGTATTAAATATGTAAATTATTTTTATTGCAGTTATTTAATAAAATACTGTCTAGCAAGTTTGGATGGATCTCTGTATTTACAAGCTGTTACAAGAGAAGTCACAGTACTGTGAGACCAGAGCGTGGCCACAGAGGACAGAGGCAGACACTCTAGCGTCTTAGGAAATCTGCATTGCACAAATACAGGAAACAAGGTATTCTCTAGCAGTTTCATGCCTTACTTTGGTGTTTGAAATACCATTTGCTGAATCAACAGGCAGAGCACGTTGCTGGCCAGGTGCTGGTTGCTTTCATTTGAGAGGTGGGATCTCGGTGGCCAGTTTTCTCTCTCTTTTCCTGCAGAGATTTATATAGCACTGGGTCTTGGCATATGTGATTAATTACTTGTTTTCTTCAATGGTCTTGGTTGCTTCACTTTTCATACCAAGCAGGCCTGAGCTTTTTTTTTTTTTTTTCTTTTTTTTTAACGGGGTTGGCTGTATGTGAACCAGTAGCGTAAGTGTTATTTTGGCTACACGTGCTGAAAAATTACACTGTTTGCAGCAATGTTGGGCAATGTGGTGCTGGGCTAAAACGTGGTGTGAGGCATGGAGGCACCTGTTTCCTCCCGTGCGCTTCAGCTGCCGTCAACCCCCTGTACGGACGGGAGAGCGCAATTGCTGTTCGCTCGGCCTGGTGGAGACTTTTCCTGTTAAGACACGTGTAGTCAGCAGGGCCTTGTGACTCGGTTGTGCTCGGATCAGTGGCCTCGGGAAGAAGAGTGCATTGAGGCTGCAGCCTTGGCTGGCGCTCCCCGCTGTACAGCAGCCTTAAGGCAGTTTACTTTGGCCCCTTTGGAAAGACACGTTGTCCTGAGGATGCTGTGCAAGCCCTGGAGGAGGATTTCAAAGGAAGTCCCCAGGCTGCTGCCGAGAAGCAGGAGGTAGCACAGGAGGACAGAAAGCGCTTCAGTCGTGAATGCACTAGCAATTGCTGGCAAACAATGCGTTGTATACGGAGTGCTTAGGAATTAGCAGCTCCCATCTTTGACAGATTGCATTAAAGTAAAGCACCAAAAATCATCTTACTGTCAATAATTAGAAAAAGTAATATAAAAATGCCAGAATACACTGTAACAAGGCAGAGTCACAGAATCACAGAATGGTTGAGGTTGGAAGGGACCTCTGGAGATCATCTAGTCCAACCCCCCTGCCCAGGCAGGGTCCAGAGCTGTTAATCAAGGTATTTTTACCTCCGGTAAAGTGACAGAAATGTAAGGTGCTTGTGTTAAAATAACTTCTTAAAACAGCATCTCTGTCTTACGGGAGTTTAAGTAAATGTAAGTTTTTTGTTTTTTGCTTACTGCTTTGCATTCCAAAAGTAGAGAATCTGCTTACTACCATTCCGAGGAAGTGCTTTCAAAAAGTTGGTACATCTCTGGTGGGCAGCTCTCACCCCTTCAGTGCACAGCCAGGCAGGATCTCACATGCGGCATGGGCCCTGTAAGACTGTCTGGTCTAATACCTGGGGGATTATTGCAAGGTTCAAGCTTTACTGGCTAAAGGCCCAGTTTATTTAAAAAAAAAAAAAAAAACCCCACCACACACGATCACACATTTCACATCCCTCTTGGGCAAAAAACTGCCCCAGACTGTCCACATGGGGTTGGTTTTTTTGCTTCTCCTCGGACTCCTGTGAATTAGCACATTATCTGTCCTGAGGCCCTCAAGCTGATCAAGGAAAGAACGGCGTCCGTGTTGATTTACTGAGATCACCTATACCGCAGGGCATCTCTTAAAATACAGAGGCACAAGCATGGATAGCACAGACTGGTTGCAGGGATGTTTCATACCTGAACAAAAATCTGCTTTGTTTATTTTTCTCCCCCTGTGACCCTACAGAAGAAGCCTCTTTATTTTGCTGGACCCTGTCAGCTGTGGGTCTCAGAATATGGTAGTTGGCAGAGCACAGGAATTTCGGCCTTTCATATTGTGTTTATTACTCGACGTGGAGGTTTTTCAAAGTACAAGTGCCCATTGCATTCAGCTTTCAGCACATGCTGTTCCTACTGGCCAGTTTACTTTCGCGCAAATTCTTGAGGGCTGTGTCCAGGGGACATCCTGTTTGAACATTCATTTGGTTTTGGCTTAGAGGTACTGCGGGATATTTGAAGAGCTTATGCACTTTCCCCAGTGGAAGACCTGAAGGTGTAATGCTAAGCAGAGCCCAGCTCTCTACGCCGTTATGCCAGTGCTGTGCTAAACCTTGTCCTGCAGCGTTTTGGGTAACTTCAAATGGAGACGAGTTACCTCCGCCCCGCACCACCACCGTTTACGCAGTGCTGCGACGTGGCTAGGCACCTTCCGCTTCCCCCAAACTCGATTCAAGTTCTCTAAGGATGTTAACGCAGCTTTTGCTCTGTTCCATCTCTGAGAAGTCCAATCCCCTTCGTCAGCATACAGACCAGCCTAATCTGCTCTTCGGGCGATAGCTTTAAGTTTACTTTAACGGCCTTGCAGCCCTGCCCTCCCCCTTGACTGCCTGATTCAGAGCCGTCTTCGGTGTGCAAACGCAGCAGGCTTGCTAGCTGGGACCGGGCAGGCTCCGCTTTCGCAGCGCTGCGCTCCTGAACACAGCGGAGGCACTGTGGCGGACCGTGCCGCTCGCTGTGGTCCAGCGGACGAAACGGAGCCAGGAGCAAAACACCTTTGTGAGTGCCCTGGCCCTCCCGCAGCTGGGATGGGAAACGCGGGTTTGCCCAGGTTGGGGATGGACGGGCTGAGGAACTGTTAGGCACGCTGAAAGCAGGGTACTGCAGAGAGCGCTCGCGGCGGCTGTGGCCGAGCGAAACCCTTCTGCTTTGGGAAGAGTTTGGGAGCAGGAGAAAGAGAGGGAGACGCCAGCAACTCCTTCCACCCCGGAAGGAGGAGGTCTGTCCCCCGGCAACTGAGCGCAGCGCTGCACGACCTCTGCCTTCCCTAACCTGGCGGGGGCAGGAAGGCAGAGGCAGGGCTGTGCTAGCGAAGGAGGCTCGCGTGCCTGCGTCACAGCATCCTCCGAGACAGGGATGTTTTGCGTGTGCTGCATGCGAGCCCCCAGTCCCAGGTCAGCAGCTGTAGCGTCAGTAGCTGTTCGCGTGACGTTTAAGCAATCCCCGTCACCACCCTTTCGAAATAATGCAGCAAGCACCCTTTAGAAACGACACGGCAACCGGGAGATGACCCGGTTCACCGTTTTCCTGCAGCGCGCAAGAGAACGGGTGATTCAAAGGGGAGAGGAGAGGGTGGTTTTTCTTATCTGCTATCCTTTGCTGCTCTTTCTCTTTAGGGGCTCTCCTTGGGGTCCTCCCATGAGAGTGCGATCTCCCTGCTTTCCGAGTCTGTCCTGGCGCTTTGCCCTCTCCGTTGTGCAGCCCAGCGCCGGCTCCTTGGGGAGCTGGTTCGTTCTGCCCGGTCAATCCTTTGCTGGAGAGCAACTGAAAGGGTCGAGAGAGCCTAGCTAAAGCGTGGGCTGCGCTCCTGCCCATCCACAGCTCCCGTACGCGGTTCAAAGCGGAGCCTCGGCCTCTTGCAGAAGGGCACGCTGCAGGCTCGGGTCCCGTTGTAGCTCTGGTGACGGTGGCAGCTCCGAGAGGTGTCCGTAGCGGAGGAAGGACAGGGGGCTCGGCCTGGCAGAGCACTCTGTGCCCGTAGCTTGGCCAAGGGCGCAAGAGCAGCACAGGGGCCTGGGCTGTGGAGTTAGGTAAGGTGGAGCGTCTTGGCACACGCGATCCTGTCGTCCTGTACGAGGTCCCACATGGCCAGCAGGGCGTCCGGGTCCAGCTTGTGCACCATGAGCAGGCTTTTGTAGAAGCACGGGTCCCTGTTCATGGCACTGGCCCTGCGCCTGGTGATCCCGAACGTCCTGAAGCCCAGGTGGGGCTCGGGCACCACGCCCAGGCTCCGCAGGCACATGCCCAGGAACACGTCGTCGATGGGGAAGACGCTCGGAGGCCA